GCGAGAGAGAGAGAGAGAGAGAGAGAGATACAGAGACAAATAGATTTTTTTATCCACAGCCTTCGATTTTAGTTACCCCCTCGGTCTCGGGGGCAAAATGCCTTGGGGGGGCCCCCCCGGACGCCGGAGCCCGGTCCCGGTGCCGGTCCCGACGGGAGGGGGACAGCCCCGACACGCGCGCTGTGACCTGTTTCCTTTAAGGTGTGCGTAAGGTGTGAGGTGTGTGTGCTCAACCCCAAGAAAGAACTTTGGGTCTTTGCGCGCACCCCTTCATGACATTTTTATAACACAGAGACACACGCATCAATCCTCAATCAACAAAACAGAGATACCCCTATAAGCTTTTCGCCCCGCATGGGCAGTTTTGTGCCGTCGTAAGCGCCGAGCGGGCCTCCGCATACCAGCGCCAATTCACATATGGCGCGCTGCTAGTGGGCGCGCGTTCATGCACCGACCCTTTGGAGCCCGCCGCCTCCCCCGGGTGTGCGGCCATGGTGCGGCTCATCGGGGGGGCCTGCAGCAGCCCCCCCCCCCCCCCCTCCCCTGAAGTGGCCAATAATGACGGCTCCCGGCCGGCTCCGGCCGCCTCACCCCGGGCCGGGGCTGGAAGCCTCGCGCCCCCACTCCTCGTCGTAGACTCGCCTGTTCACAGCTGGAGGTGTGAAGAGACGCTGTTCACACCGCAGGCCCCCACTCCTCGTCGTAGACTCGCCTGTTCACAGCTGGAGGTGTGAAGAGACGCTGTTCACACCGCAGGCCCCCACTCCTCGTCGTAGACTCGCCTGTTCACAGCTAGAGGTGTGAAGAGACGCTGTTCACACCGCAGGCCCCCACTCCTCGTCGTAGACTCGCCTGTTCACAGCTGGAGGTGTGAAGAGACGCTGTTCACACCGCAGGCCCCCACTCCTCGTCGCAGACTCGCCTGTTCACAGCTAGAGGTGTGAAGAGACGCTGTTCACACCGCAGGCCCCCACTCCTCGTCGTAGACTCGCCTGTTCACAGCTAGAGGTGTGAAGAGACGCTGTTCACACCGCAGGCCCCCACTCCTCGTCGTAGACTCGCCTGTTCACAGCTGGAGGTGTGAAGAGACGCTGTTCACACCGCAGGCCCCCACTCCTCGTCGTAGACTCGCCTGTTCACAGCTGGAGGTGTGAAGAGACGCTGTTCACACCGCAGGCCCCCACTCCTCGTCGCAGACTCGCCTGTTCACAGCTGGAGGTGTGAAGAGACGCTGTTCACACCGCAGGCCCCCACTCCTCCTCGCAGACTCGCATCGTGATGGACTGCCGCGTGAGCGCCGTCTTCTCGTTCCAGACCTGCACACACCCCGGGCCGCTGTGAAGAGACGCTGTTCACAGGGCGAGCCGGCGTCTTCCTCTGTCTGCTCGTTTTGGACCCCGTGCTGCCAGCAGCACGCGCAAGACTCGTGCGCCACCTAGGTAAGGTCAGGTCAGGTGAACTGCTCCACACACACGAGGTGGCGGGGCAAGGGGCCAGGCTAGTCCCTCGCGACTCCACGTCTAGACGACAGGAGCCCCACGGCATTAGGAGTGCAAGGCCCGGTGCGCGTGGGTGAGCGGTGTGTGTGTGTGTGTGTGTGTGTGTGTGTGTGTGTGTGTGTGTGTGTGTGTGTGTGTGTGTGTGTGTGCGCGCGCGCGCGCGTGCGTGCGTGCGTGCGTGCGTGCGTGCGTGTGTGTGTGTGTGTGTGGTACCTTGTGGCGGCTGCACCATGCGGTGCGCCCCTGGGCTCGCTTGCTGAGGATGTATGCGGCGCCCGCGGGCATCGGGAGCTGCACCTGAGATACGGGGAGATACGGGGAGATACGGGGAGGGATGGGGAGAGATGGGGAGGGATGGGGAGAGATGGGGAGGGATGGGGAGAGATGGGGAGGGATGGGGAGAGATGGGGAGGGATGGGAAGAGATGCGGGAGCTGCACCTGGCGCTGCACGTTGTGGAC